GTTCTTGCCAGTTCTTCTTACCCGCTCTACGCCCTTACGCGAACTGGTAGTAAATGTAAATTTACAATTAATTTAACTTCTTTCTGACAATTCATAAGTGTAGTTGTTTACCTACATGAATAAAGATATTTTGAGTTTGAGTTAAGACTATGCGTCAGTCAACTTGTCAACGTGTTTAAAAAAGCATGAAAATAATTTTATAGTAACAAATTCAAGTGGGTGATAGAATATTTAGATATACGAAAACAAAAATTTGGAAATGGAATTGCCAGCTGACGCAGGCTAGCATTTAATATATTAGAGTATTACTCGTATTCTGTTGCCTTTTCAATAGATAGTTTAGAGCTTCTGGAATTGCCCTGTTAAATTACCCAGAAGCCACCTTAATCTCAACACTTATATTTCGAGAGAACAGAGCCTGCGTCATATGCTTTTTCTGAAAATACCTTACAAAATCACAAAGCAACGAAACTAAAAAGCCTTATGGCTTTTGAGTAGCTTTTCAAAAAATATAAAAAAAAATCAAAATCATTTATACATATAGGTAACGCAATGTACACTTATGAACGTCAAAAAAAGATTGTTTTGAAGAAAAACTTTGTTTTGCCATGTATATTATGTATATAGGAAACATTTTTTTGTTCAATAAAAATAACTATTGATTGAGGGGTGAAAATTAAGGGTTGTATGTTTTTATTAATGTCACATAATAAAAGTAAAAAATAAAATAAGGTTATCCAATTTTTTTATTTTTTGGGGTGGACACCCCTTATCACTCAGGGTAGATTGAAAGATAGATAGTAACCGATTCTCAGATTTACTGAATATGCATAAAAAAATTCATAAGAATCGGTTGAGCCATTCTGGAGGAGTATGGGAACGAACATTGTGACACGAGAATTTTATATATTAGATTATTATTGGCGAACTAACCATCTCCTTAACCATACGTAAGAAGATCTTAGAGGGTAAAAATAAAACAATAGTATTGTATAAATTGAACGTGTAATACATTTATTTTATAAAGAGATAAAATTTCACATATTTTGTAAATATTAGACATTTTTAATACAATTTCAGCACAGCAGCCGCGTACATCAATACGCTATAAAACACATTTTCCTATATTTTCGCTACTGACACATTGAAGATATATTTTTAAATAATTTTATGGACTACTGATAAATTGGAATATTTTCTGATTCTTGATTAACATTTAATATTCTAATAAAAATAAATAACATATTTTAGAATTTAGTACAAGTTTAATAAATTATATAATTTTAATTGTGATCCAATGTATTAACAGTGGTTGAAAAAAAATTATTCTGTTGTAACGACTATTAGGTAGACTAAGACAAACATACATTCAACCTTAATAACTTACTGAACCCCAAGGCTTAGAAAAATAAATACAAAATTAAATTGATATTTATATATACATTTTTTAAACATAATGCTAACGGTTACCACTACCACGTTCGACTGTTTTGAAAATTGCTAGGAAGACTTTAGAATGCACTTTTGAAAAAATCGACGCTGTCACATATGATCGGCCTAGATCCTGTGAACTAATGACAACCAAACCGCGCGATTCTCTTTTTTTTTCAAAAGAGTATTCTACCAGTTTTATAAGCGAAATTAAAAATTATAGGTCACAGTTTTTTTAGTTTACAGTAATGATAACCTTGTTATATCCATATTTTGCCAACATCTATTGATTTATGCATAATTGACAACAACAAATACACAGATTACTACAAGCAGTTGAGACATTTAAGAGACGCCAAACAATAACACGCAGATATATTAATTTAAAATATTCCAAAGTCATCAAAAATATTCTAACACATTTCAGTTGGGTTTGGATCAATCTTTGTTCTGGTCTCTCAACCTCAAGCGAGGTGTTGGTATAATAACAATATTTAGTCGTCACATATAGATATTATCAATAATATACTTTTTTTATAGAACAGGGCAAACGGGCAAGAGGCTAATCTGATGTTAAGTGATACAGCCACCAATGGACACTCAATGGCAGAGGGCTCGCGAGTGCGTCGCCGGGCTTTAAACAATTCGTACGGTCTTTAATAACATATAAATATTATAGATGCAATTTTTGATATTATTGAATATTTCAAATAATAAAAATCAGTTTTGTTATCTCGATTAGTACAAATTACGCAATCATTTAATCTGGACACATTGTCTATAAAACGTTTTTGGTTTGCCCCAACTGCTTAGAATAACCTGTCAATCTTAACACCGAATACGTCTATGAAGCGATGAAAATTTGTTACATTACATTGACTTAATTACCTTATACTTAATGTATAAAAGAGTGTATAGCAATAAGGAAGACATTGATAGCCTGCATGATTTTTATCGTTATAAATAATAGTATAGTTGATGATTTTTTACAATAAACATCTCTAAACATTAATCATAAGAAATTGGTTAAAACTGGCCTTGATCTAGAATATATCCCGATTACATTAATTTTTAGAAAATTATGAAAATAAATCGTATTAGTAATAAGTTTATATATTATCCGTATTTATCGCATACATTGCATAAATAGAATCGACAAACAGAAATACGTTTACAGCCTTGCGATTCTTTAACTCACTTTTCGAACTCTATATATAAGGAGGGAGCTTGTAGTTTATTGTTTATCAGAATGCCAATCGTAAAATGACTGCTTTACGATTGATTTGAGCGCGACCGCCGCTGCGAAAACCGCTGTGAGAGTTCGAAAAGTGAGTTACAGAATCGCAAGGCAGGTCATTAAAGTTAAGTTTAATATAACTGTAGTCAAAAATATATTACGAATCAAAGTACCAAGACAGTTTTAACCTCAAACTATTTTCTACTATTAAATAAGAAGGGGTTTACAAAGGCAGGTATCTATATAAATTGTGCTACAGTTAAAACGATACACTACACTATAATATTTTATCGGCATCGTTTGTATGGATGCTAAACTAATTTGATTTAAATCTGCTCGGAACGTATCTAAGATGGTATAATCATTTCTTACCTCTCCAGTATTTGTTAATTAGTAGGTGATTTGTTAAAGTGAGAGACTCGATGTGTTGAGACTATAGCACAGTCATGCTTGGGCATATAAATTTCGCCTAAATTTGGTAAATTTGTTAATATATTGTTGTATCTAGAAGCCATCTTTGGTGTGATTGTAAAATAAATCATGTATGAAAACTTTTAAATATTTGAATTATATTTCTTTCGCAAGTTTGTTTATATCACGAGTAGGCAACAAGTAGAGATTATAAGAAAGCAATTATAAAAATAACTTTTCAGGAAATATTTGTTAATCCATATACAGCTTTTATATTTAAAATCATCTTAAAGAATTCATTAGTTTACGTATTAGCTTCATTGATTTTTATAGCTCTGAATGGAAACGACGAAAGCTCTGCGTTGTATTAGTAGCTGTAGAAACTTTACTTAAAATATCAAAATGGGAATAAAAATACATCCAATAGCTGTACAGAAACAAAAAAGCGTATCAATTTCGGACTTATCTACTACGTCAAAAGCAAAGATACACAAATGCTTTTAGCTTTACAACCAACTATGCACAACACTTATATAAATATATACTCACTCCCTAACATGATATGTTTTGTTTCGAACTTGTTCCTTACACAAACTTGCACAAACTTTATTTTCCCACCCAATACATTTATTATGCAATGTAGTACGGATGCGGTAGAGTAATTACTCTGCTATGATTCTTATATACACAGTGAATAAAATAAAAAAACAATGTACTGCAGTATCCCAGTTTCAAATATTAAAGAAATCATAATAGTTATTACTGGACAGTGATAAAGTTAGAAGCGTGACTATCGGCTAATGATTCAAATTAACCAAAAGTGGCTAGAATATTACTTGAAAGACACTAGAAAATGTCTCCAAGTTCTTGTTTTATACATGCCCGTTTGTATGGTACCTATCGTTTTAAATGGCGTAATAGTTGCTATCTTTAAAATATTATGTAGGTTGCGATATAATAATATTAGCTTAACATTGACCAAATCAAATAAAATATATCTGCTAATAAGCCATTTTAAATGACCGAATTAAATTTAACCGAATTAAAATGTATTTCATTATTAATTCGAGATCAAACCCATCAGGTTATTCGACGCGCGATTTACCAATTGTAGTATGGAGATGGTTACCCCTGATACGTATTCTTAAATATATTATATATGTTATAAAAACATGAATTGATTGTTGCAAATACATAAAATTTACTATATTAAGTTTAATAGATCGCTATTACATAATAAATATGTCCAAAAGCTTTAGTTATATCGTACGTAAAAAAGGGATAAACACCGAACGCAATACTCAAGTTTTTACTTAAAAGTGTTATATATTCGACTAATCTACTTATTACATAAGAAAAATTTACGTAGACCAAATACCAAACCAACAAAGAAATTAATAACTATGAATAAAATCAGATTGTTAAGGGTTAGGCGTAACGGGTATACGAAATTCAAAGGGGCATAATTAGGACAAGCCTAATTTTAATTTATAGTCAGTCTCATATTTACGCGTACATAAGTTTGTAAAAGTTACAAAGCATTCAAAGAAGCGCGCTATCTACGATCGTAGATGAAATTAAAATTAATTTCTAAAATAGTAAACTAAGCCGTTATTTTTTGACAATATAAATGCCACATTTTCGCAGTTGTCTTACCACGTGTATGGAAACTAAAATAATTAAATCAATTGTTATTACCAACATAAAATTAATATAATATAATTTATCTACTTAAGGTGACATTAATTTGCCAACTTTGTAAGTAAATTATCTTCATTAAACTCAAGTACAGCATAATATAATTTATCACAAATGAATAATTAGATTTCGTAAGAAATATTTCGTTATTTCGGAACTCGATTTGAGAATTCGGAATTTTTTTCAGTATACTCGTACCTACATTAAACATCCAATATAAAGCCTAGTATATTATGCATATCATAATAAAAATAAAATAGTTGTATATTTTAAGTCGTTCCGATTTATTCTCTTCGCTGCTTAATATTTTAACAGGGAGTTGAGTGGGCGATGGCTCCAATCGAACTAGGTTTACTGAAAAAATAAACATGATCCATTTAATAAGTCAGCACAAATAAATTGAACAAAGAGTAAAATACTAGTATTGATATATTATAATTAACAAATAATAAATTTAAAAAAGTTTAAGCAAAATTTAAAAACTTTTAGAGGCGTAAAGCAGTCATAAAAAATAATACCTACAAGAGCAGATTCATTAAGCACTTGTGTACCATCACACTCACCTCACCCTCACTCACCTCACTCAAGAGTCAACCTTGATGCTATGACACAACCAACGATAGTTTTACCATATTAACAAAACCATTACACATACTGAGGATTATCTTACCGGTGATAGTCTGATTCTGTACGTCAGCATAACCTTCCCCCACTGTTGGATAACTAGGTATGGTGCTCAGACAGGTGATGTCAACAGTCTGGTTCGGATGTTGTAGGCTTGAAAGGGGGAAACGCAAAGACGAGTTGGTAAGGGAGAGTGGCATTCCATGATGATATCGATGGACATTGACTGTGCCGTGAGGAATTGTTAACCTTTCATCCACCTGAAATAAATAGAAAAGTTCTAGTAGTAGTTCATGGAATTTATAATTTATCATAATTGAGGTTTTACCTAATAAATAAAAGGTCCGACCGTATGAGTGGCGCCAAGAGGGTTCGGCCACAGACGAGTACCTAATATTAGTGTATGCTATTGAAAGAATAATGCACGATCCTAATTCAATAATGATGGAGTAAAATTTATGATGATAACCATGCCAAAAGAGTAATAAATCAGTGATTAGATAATTTGTGCCACTCCCGGAAACGTGAATATATTAAATTCTTGTAACGAATAACGTCGAATATAATAAAATTATTGAGAAAATTAAAAGAATATGGATTATGAATATCCATCCATGATAGTCTTGACTCGCGAGCATTTCAGAAGATTTTACCTTTAAATAATCTGTTTTAATATGTTATTTGTAAAATAATATTTTCAGCTGTAGGATGTAGTGCATTTGACAGCTGCCATTTCAAGAGCTATAATTAATGCGAATATTGAATATTGTAATCTGCGAAATCTACTTCTAGTGTTACGTGTTCTTGTTTGTAAATCCAAAAATAGTAATTAACAAATAAATAACCTATTATGGGCTCGAAATTTGCTGTCATTTTTTTTACGGGGACCTGTCATTCCTTCCAACGAAGGTATCGTTGTATAATTCTTCAAAAAAGATCTTAGATTAATTGTACAACAAAGGAACGATTTCCTTATGCTATAATATAGTTACGTTAAGTAAATACCAAAATATCCGAGTCATGTTGTTTACATAATACACAAAGAAATGGCGAGTCATCGTCTTATATTGATGAATTCAAGTTAATACGTTTTGAATTATATTTTCAAATTATTCATTATAAACAAATCAATTAAAATAGTTTCCACTATTCCACTAAACTACATTTTAACGTTGTTGTTAGCGAGCACGAATATATTAACAAACTTTTTGTAATGTATTAACACAATAATCTATTAACACAAACTTAAATAATGTTATACTATGACAACTGTCAATATAAATATATTGAAATAAATGTTTAACTTTAGCAACACTATTACCATGCATCTCCATTAAAATCAGGGTAAATGAAGATACATAGCTTCCTCAACTAAGGACGCAGTACACTAATCAAGTATTCCAGGAAATACATCCTAATTATAGATTATGGTTGGGGGGAAATTTTACTTGATTACTCAGTATATTAGCAGTAATCTAGTGAATTGAGTGAGAACGTTCAATATTTAGTGTAAATTAAATTGGGGTTTTTGTTCATGATTTTCAATAGATTATTTAATTTGGAAGGTGTTAGGTTATTGGTTAAAAGTCTCACGATTGCGAACCTAATCATTTCAATAATCTATTTTCTATGAGAGCAATTAACACCTATTTGTACGGAGAAGCTACACATAGATCCAAAAATCTAAAGATAATAGAGTGATTAATTTTACCATTTTTAATTATGCTTATAATTTAAAGTAGCTTTTGTAAATGTTTCTACATTAGAAAAAATATCAAATCGTTTCCATTATAATTAAAACACGTTCGATAAAGTTGTTTAAATATTTAATCCAGTTACCTAGGGCTTGCCTCCCAAACAGTTTACACATGAACGGCAAGTCAATTACAACGCTCCGTGTCCCCACTGAAACCATGTTTGATATTGAGAGATTTAATTATCTACTGAGAAATGTAACTATACCAAGAGGTATTAAGTAAATTGTAAGACATTCAGTTTATATTATTTGTCTTTTAATTTACAATATATAATAGGTACTAGTACAGAATGTGTAAAGCTAAGCGTTAATTACGGGTTGGGGGTAAAGATGTGGTCACGTGAAGAGACGGTCGTAACTGTGGTATCGCATGTTGGAAAGTGGATAAGGCTCCGCTGATAACGCGGCGAGGGCGATTGTTGGTGGCGCCTTTGGGATGCACAAAAGCGAGTACCACGTAACCATACCATACCCAGGGTGTGTCCTCTCCCCGACCCTGTTGGTACTGAATATCTTCTATCATAGATATAATGTTGCAACTTAGCAGCATTTATTGCTATGTGGACGACAGCACGACCAGTTAGCGATGAGTACCGGAACAAACTTGTATCTGAAGTTGAAACTCTCTTACGTGGAGTCTCGGACTGGGGTAGACGAAATCTAGTCCAATTTATCCCCAAGAAGACACAAGTTTGCAAGGTTTCCGTTTGTCGCCACTCCTCTTATCGAAGACACTCGTCTTTAAGCCACAGCCATTATCGAAATACTCGGCGTTGACATATCGCACGACGTTCAGTTTCATGGCCATTTGGAGGGAAAGGCTAAATTAGCCTCCAAGAAGCGTGGTGTGCTCAGCAAGGGAAGGCTGTACTTCACTCGAGGCCACCGCTTGCAAATGTATAAAGCGCAAATTCGGTCCCACATGGAGTACTGTTCCCACCTCAGTCACTTCACACTAGTACAGCTCCATCCAGTTGAACGTATTCAACGAAGAGCGGTTCGGATCGTCGACGATGATCGATGATTGGCTCGGTGTAGCGTAGAAATGTGGGGTCACTTTGCATCTTCTAGCGTGGGGATGTTGTTCAGAGTAGTTGTTTGGATTAATACCTGCAGTTTCATCTTCGGACGTCGAGGAAGAAAACGAAATTCCACCCGTATCACCTCGACGTCCGTCTATGTTAAACCAACTGCCGCCCAAATATTTCCGAAATTTAAGAAATGAGCGTATTTATTCTTAAAAGGCCGGCAACGCACTCGCGAGCCCTCTGCCCTCATGAGCGGCGGTATCACTTAACATCAGATGAGCCTGCCCGTTTGCCCCCAGTTCTATAAAAAAGGGTATGTGCAAGTAAAAAAAATGAATCTTTTATTGTATATTAATTGTACAAACATGATATTCGTGATGAGATTTGGACGCTTAACAACTGTTCTAACACAACTGTATCAGTATTATACTGATGTAGATACATCAGAATAATATTGCCTACAGGGATTGAATAAAAAGCAATCTATCTCTATGAACCTATCCGATTTCTAATTATTTTTATCGGGCATAAAAAATGTGCAGTTCTAGAAAATGCAAACGTAAGCAGAACCTATTTTAAGGTGATTATTGTAGTTTCGCCTTTATTTGTAGTCTCGTAGAGCTGCGTCGTAGCGGCTTACTAATTGATCCAAATTTAAATTTGTTTTAGCTGTATAATCTAACGGAGATTATACAAGTAACTGCTTTTTTGTAAGAAAAAATATATTTTTGTTGAGTAAAAAAAACCTGCCATGCTTATTTTAATATGTTGTTTATAGAATACGTGTTTTTAAAAGTATATTTATTTTCTTTTTAAACGTGTAAAATACATGTTTACTTCGCAATACTTCTTTTTAAGTTCTTGTATTTCTGTGTTAGTACTTAGCGCTCGATTATTCATTCGTTTTTTTCGAAGCACATTTGCGTTCAGAGATATATTGATTTGTATAATTTAGTAGACCGCTGTCATTTAGAACTCAAGAGGTCTAAATAAAAAGGTTATTTATTTTTCACCAATTAGGTTATTAAGATAAATTATAATGAGAATTAAATTCTAGGTACTTTTTTGTATATTTTTTATACCTAATCATTAGCCTAATGCTTGTTGCTATATATATATTTAAATAATACACGTAAAACAAAAGACATATGTACTGAAAAGAAGAAATTTAAAAAGTAATTACTGCTTATGATTCAATCGATAGCATTGCGAATTTTTCAATGTATTTTAATAAGGATTTTAAGTGTAATTGCTAATGATATAAACAAATAATTTAACTGAAAACCAAAAAATAATAAACAAAATTGTAATATCTCTTGTTTGTTCAACGTTCTCAAAGTGGGTCTGAACGTAAAAATTTAATAACTTCCTGTTTTGCTTATGAAAATGTTTACCACAACTGCCGCGTATTAAAAGGATTTTATGAACAGACTTTAATTGGAAAACCTTTTCGTTAAACTAATTCTTTATTTAACAATATAAACAAAAATAATTTTCTTAGAAACTGTACAATTTTTCATCAGCATCGCAATACAGCAAGAAAAAGGCTGTAATGAATGATTTAAAAAAAGAAGATTATAAATGTTAGTTAAATTTCCATTATTTTATATACTCGTATAAAGATTGTACATTGTCTTTAGTTTACGCGTACATTTAGTTTACATGATCACAATTGCAATAAATGTTTATATAAGATAATACAATATCGGTGTATTTTTTTAAATTTACGGAGAAATAATAATTAGGTAATTTTACTTTAACATGTAAACATATATAAATAGTATTAGTACATAAATGAACTGGTCGGTAGAATGCGTCTTTTTAAAAAAAAATCGTTAAATATGTGGCTTTTTTGTAAAAATATCGTACGATTCACCTAGAAGAAGTTTAAATCGATAGACCAACGAATTCGCGTTTTGTTTGATTGTGATTGGTAAACAGCAGACACGTGATTGGGTAGACACGTGATCGATCACAATTAAACGAAAAGCGACATTATTTGCTCTTAGATTGTGAAACAATTTTATAAATTTAACAAAAACTAAAGTGATTTGGAACAAAAACAAAAAATTTTAGTTTTTAATTTGTGTAGCTTTGTCTATTGTCACTTCAAATAATGACTCAGAATTAGTAATCACGAATTGTGGATTGTAGTGTGATTGAAGTGTATGGGACAAAAAAAAAATTGTGCGTCTACTAGGTACACACGTAAAAAGTGAAACTTCTTTATGATCTTATTTTTCGAAAAATGATCTACTATATGCAACTTTACAGAAATTCGATAAATTAGATAAAGTTTAACAAAAGGCTTTTATTATCATAGACATGAATACAAATATTTCATTTTACCTTATTACTACGAAGATTATTATAGAATTTCATTAATTGTAATTGAATTATTACTATCATTGAAAAACGTGACGATTTGCTACAAAATTTCTCCCATACGTCGATAAAGAAGTTTCATTCCAACGCCGATAAAGAAGTTTGACTTCAAAAAGCAACATGGCGCGTAACCGAAAAATGTGACGCGTAACGAAAAAATGTTACACTTCATTTTTTTCCAACCTCGATAAAGAAGTTTCACTTCAATAATGGATTATAGATAGTCATATGTTTAATTAACTATGAAACTCGCAAATAACCTTTGAACCGATCCATTTAAAACAACTGAATAGTTTATTTATGAACAGTTGACGACCGTTTGGCCTATTATAAATAGTGTCGCTAATTGGACCGTAGTTATTTGAGCCGTGGTAAATTGCGCTTCATAAATTCAGATTTTCTTTCATACATGATTATTAATAATACTTTTGGTAAAGCAATTTTAAAGCTATGCAATATTTGAAATCTAAAATACTTTGCTAATCTGTAAAGATAACATTACAGAAAGTTGAAGTTCCATTGTTGCAGTTATTTAAACTGCCGCACATTTGTGTTTTAATAAAATTGATCAAGACTTTTACCGTTGAGAATTTTGCTATAATATTATTTGCTAGTAGCGTAAATATATAATTTACATTTACTATAGTTATATTTTTTCTTATTACTCATTGTCGCAACATCCTTCGGAAGTATTCTATTGATCGGAACCCCATCTCAGGAAAAGGCCCAGATTTTTTGAAACCTCTCTATCCAAGCCTTCTTTCCCCATTCGCTTCCTGCTATGTCTTCTATATTTTCTATCCACCTATTTCATTTCCACGTTACAATTACGCCATTGAAATTTATCGAACAACTGAATTAAACATATTTCAATAATAAAATATTTTAGATAGACAGTACTGAACTATACTTAATAATATTGAAATAGTATTATTGTATGCTGTATGTTGTTCATTGTACGTGGTACACTGAAGACTTTATACAAGAGGTAAGAGAAAACAACATCGCATTAGTTTAATGATCTGAAAAATACTAATAACTTAAACCTTCAGAGGTATCTTCAGGAGGCCTTCACTGTTAAGTAAGAGGTATTTTTATATTGTATTTTATCAATTACTAGCGGTTGCCCTCGGGACGTCGTTCGCGTGGAAACGGAAAATTTCAATCAGTTTTCTTGTACCTTTGAACATGATTTTTAATTCCCGTAATTTTTAACAAATTTTGAATTAGGATCATTTTTTAAATGCAAGAGAATAATAAATTTTATTATTTGCGGTTATTTTTACTTACCTTAACATTATTGACCAGCCATGTCAGATGCGGTGCTGGATAGGCAGCTGAACTGTGACAGGTGGCCTCCAAGTCGCCATTTGGTGATAACTTCTGTTGTCTAATCCTGATTTTTGGACGGTGTTTTTGGCGAACTACAAATACAATAAAATATGATAATCTTTATAATCAAAGTATGTAAAGTTGTTCATAAATTATCAAGCGTGGGACTCTCAACCCTAAGACAATGCATTTGAATCCCTGTGGGTGTGTGGGTGTGGGTTTTATTAACCCGTGCGTTAATTTACCGCCATGATCTAGATACAAATATTGACGTAAGTCAGGCACAGTTATAATTAATAATATTGTTACATAATATTCGATCAGACAGCTGCAAGCTGGTTGTAGCGCTAGTGATTCATATTTTTTTTCGGGCAATACAGATAATACATTTTAGGTCAGCCAATCTTGGTCCCAACATCTGCATTTTCCTGGAATGTGTATTATATTTGCATTAGAGCAAATCTAGCAATATACTTTGTCTTTAGGATACATAATGCATATATAGGGTACAATAGATTCCTTGAGTATATTAGTTAGTTAAATGTATATTGTATGTAACAGTCTTTATACGATCTACGACTTTTGTCGACGTTAAATTTTTCAATATTTTCTTTTAAGTCGTATTTATTATTCGCGCGTACATCAAAACTTATACTACCTCTTTCAAAACACATCAAAGGAATCATAATATAGTCTGATGTAATGTTTTCTCTTTGTGATAATACGTTGTGTGGGTTTTCCTTATCACAGGAAAATTGATATGAGAAACATATCGTCTTACTAACAGTAAGAGGTTAGTGTAGGAGATTGCTCCGGTACACATATGTTTTTTTGAGCGCAATTAGGTAAATGCAATGCACTTTATATCTTACCAAATAAATATAAATAATACTATAATATTATTAAATTGAAAAAAAAATTTGACTGCTGAATCATCTAATAAATGAAAATTAATTTTGTGAATAAAACATAACGATATTTATTATGTACATGTTTCATATTTGATAGTATTAAATCATAATGATTGCGAATATAAATTTGTAGATAATACAGAACATTAAATCATAAGCTCCATCTGTTTCTTTCCTATGGTATAATGGAATCAAAACTAAGACGGCCGAAGGGTCGCGTCACATTTCATACAAAAGTGGTTTTGTAATGGAACGTCATATTTATTTGAGTGTAAGATAACACGCAAACTTTATTCGATTATTTCTTAGATATTATAGTATTTGTGTTCCGTCTACCAATTTACCCGTTACTAGGGACCATCCGGTCCTTTAGAAATATTTCCTTAGAATATAATTCTTGGAACAGACAGATGACAGACAGATTTGAGACAGATCTGGACTTGTAATTCACATGTATTAGGTACTTACATAGAGTTACTAAACCTCATTTGTTTATCTGTCACACTAATATAAAAATACATAATAGTGCTTTTCTTGGGCGTCCTTAGACTAATTTAGTATTAATGAATCACTGTAGAATTACTACATACATATAGTCTTAAGCAGACCGAGGGTATTGTGAAATATTACTTTTTATTTGAGAATTCATTGCATACGATAGGACAAAAATAATTCGGAAACGCAGCGTTTAAAAATGTATATTATATTACTAAGAGGGATAATATGTATTGTGTATGCTATAGTTATTTATTTTTAATATTTAGAAATATGACATCTACCTGTTTTATTTTAGAATAAAATATAGCCCGACAATGGCTAAGTTCCGAACTCCTAAGGCAGGTCTATTGCACTAACGTAGTCACGAATTGTACTTTTCTACCCAGTTCAAAGCAAAGTTCAACTTCTCTTTCATGTTGTGTGTATATAATGTTATATACAATCAGCATAAAAAATTCAAACGGCATTAACTAATCCCGCGCTTAATTAATTAAGTTAACTAAAGGGCTTTGATCTCACTAGTGTCAGATTACTTTAGCAATAAAAGGCTTCGCGGTAAATATTGTTCAATTTCAAAGTGATTTATATCTGTCAAACTGACAGTTCAATTTATGAGAGTGACGTCAGTAATTTAATAATCAAATGTAATCGATGTATGTATTTAAGTTAAAATTAAAACTTAAATACATACATAGAAATGTACACTAATATTGTAAATAGAAAAGTTTTGATTGATCGCTTACTGAAACTACGCTTTGGTTTTATCTAAGTAAGCAAGTTTGGTAACTACGTCAAGTTTTAGGCACATAGAAAAATATCCCATGATTTCAGCGAAGGTTCGAAAGCTATGTTAACAAGGCACCAATAACATAGATAATAAATAAAACCTCTATTCTTTGACCGTTATTTAGAAACAAACTTAATGACATTGTTAAAAAGAATCAGATAATGTTATCTAATTATCTTTTATTTAGCTCCAATAGCTTTATATATTATTATTGTTCTGTAATAGGCTAGAGAATGCAATCATCTAAATGAATACAGGAAATCGTCTATTTCACTTACCTATAACATTGACTTCGTGTATTTTTGAGAGTTTCGAGTACAAAGGAATTTCCATCGCAATTTCACAGGCGTAGGTCCCAGCAGCGTTAAAATCCATTCTGTCTAGTGTAAGCGATGTCGGTGTCACTTTTATTAACTGAAAACATCGTAAAATTAAAAACTTGAGAACCACAGATTTAGGATTTTTACAATCTTTTCTGTGCGTTGAAAACAATAATTATTTCATCAGAAATTGAACCCAGCACTATACACGTCAAAGGGAATTGCAATAATCTATGTATATAAAAATGAAACCCGTTTTCCGTTGTCACGACATAACATGAAAACGGCTTGACCGATTTGTCTGATTTTTTTTAATAATATTCCTTGAAGTACGAGGATGGTTCTTACGGAGAGAAAAATTAAAAAAATTTGAGTGAAAAAGTCTAAAAAAAACACTTTTCTATATTCCCATACAAAATATTCGTAATAATACTTAAAAGTCAATTTGAACTTTAATACCATATCATAAAGTTCAAATGTTAGTGGAGGGGTTCCGGGAAGGTAAATTTTTATTTTTTGACATAATGTATTTGTTGTCTTATCAACTTTCTTTTTTTTATCTTCCTAGCTAGACGAGTGTCCCGAATAGCAGAATAAGTATTAAAAAAAAATAAAGAATCGACTGTACGATACCGCCTAGGTACGATGTTCGCCAGGCCAGGTAGTAATAAATATAAAAGAATATATGTAAAAGGTTCTACTGCTACAAGTTAAGTTTGTAGAATGTTTTCTACAATATAATGCTTGTTAATTTTAGTTTATTAAGTACAAAGGCTAATCTTATACAAAACCTTTTAAAGATAATGTTACCTTAAATTACCATAAAGCAGTTTTAAATATAGCAGATCCCTATCTTGGTATTTTAAATAGAATAACTCCTTTTAAAAAGCCTGTTACGTGACGCACGCTTTCTAGTTGACTTGATTACAGTCAAATATATTAACTTTAATTAAACTTTTAAGAACCCTGTCTTAGGGTATATTTTACGTTAAATGAAATCATAAATAGTTACGATTTTGGTTGAGTATGGTCCTGTTCACAACAAAAGTTTTACATAAAAAATATTCACGTTAATATTATAATGAATCGTGAGTAATGGCATCAAATATAAAAGAAAATAAATAATTCCCATACTCTAATAATTCATATATTCATAATAGATTCAATAATAGATATATCATTAAAATATCATTATTTTATAGCAGAACTATCATCACCATTATTGTCAAAACATCCTTTATGGACAATTAATTGAAAATATTTATTGATTCGATCTGATTTTTACTTGGAATACATTAATTAACATTTTGACATTGACCAATGGTAACTTCAATTATTTGCGATGTTTTCATTATATGAGAATAACAATTATAACAACTCTATTTACGGGACTAATTATGAAACAAAAGATAAAATGAATATGAAATTTCTTCGAAAGCAAAAGCTTTATATTGTACTCTTGGGAATATCCGATCTTCGATAAACTCAATAATATATTGAGCAATGCACAATGGCTCCCATATCTTATTAGCTTTCCATTCAAAGCTTTGGAGTATGCGAACTTCAAAGAAAATAGAAAATATGAGAACTGAGATTTGTACTTTTGCTGCCTTGCTTAGCTATTTTGTAATATAATGTTCCTTTATTATAATTTCGGCGTCGGGACTGCGGGATGATGATTTTTATGGCAATATGGGCAAAAAAGCAGGTATTGGAAAAATATTAGATATAAAATATACACCTTCATATATATCCATGCATATATGCATACATTGTAGAGTCCCGATCTCTTCAACCAAAGATAATCGAAGTAAATAAAGCTGTATTCTCGTGGTAATTAAAAAATTTAACGTCGGATGCCACAAGCTGTACCAAAATAAGGAATGTTTACCTAATTATTTGAAATGTCGAGTAAACCACCGCGTGATATCGCTTTAAAAATCCTTCGCTTAGACAAGGTTTGAACAGCGACGAGCTGAATGCAATCGCGGTAACGTCGCAAATATAAGCAGTGGCTTGTCTATTTACTTTAAAAAGATTACATCAAGCTTGGGTTTCATTAAGTGACCTTTTGTTAGGGAGTATCTATATCATCAAATTATTCGAAAGTAGTCATTGAAATATCTATTGGTTTCCATAATAACTGGACTGTGGGGACTGTGGGGTCTGAAACCTCAGTCTAAATATGACGGATTCTTCTTAACTTATAGAAGCATTCAAATACATATTAAAAATACTATGTTACGAAGAATTATTATTTTTGTACATTCTCTTGATTGGCATCAAAAAATAAGAGGGTTTTTTCACATTTGAGTCGGTTCGATTCCTAGACGAGACAAGTCATTTTTAAAAAATCATCGAATTCAGTAATACTTACTTTTCAAAATAAAATAAAGTCTTCTTTCAGCAAATATCCTATCTACGATATTTAAGGTACTTTCCCTTGATGTCCCATAGTGGGACGCCCTGTATATATTAACTGTTAAATTCCTTTAGACAACTGATGATGTGAGTCGTCAACTGAATGAATGAACCCAGTTCTGAGGGGTGAGAAACCAGTTCTATTAAAGAGAAGGGATTTCGGTGTGCAATAGTGAATTTTTGTGTGTGATTGTCTATTGTGAAGAAATCTGGGACACTCCTACTTATTAGTTAGGACAACAACCTCCAGGTAGCGCTAGTGCGCTACAATGCCAAGTGCTGATTCTATATATTATATACATATGTATAATGTACTATTAGCAATAAGGCATTGCTCGGACATGTACATTGTACATAACTAAAAACTAATTTAATAATTTTTATTATTTATTTAAATACAACATACGTAACGTGAAAGTTAAATTTTAATGGTTAATTTCAATCTCTGGAAGTTTATAATTAGGTGAAAATGATACGTTAGCGTGCACTATCGAAAATTAATTTTGACTTCCACAAACGCTCATTGCGGCGTAGTTGATTATTGTTAGGAACGATATTGCGTTGTGGACAAATTCTATGATTTCACAATTAGATACTAAATACTAATATTTGAAATGGGAAATCAAGAGGTATAATGGCGCTGTTTTTTTAAACATATTTTAGCCAAAAGTGATGTCAACTTATTATTTATCGAAATATATTTCGGTTTTGAAGTCATTATTATGCACATCGCTAAGAAAATTTAAGTGATACAAACGGAATGTTAGGTGGAAAATATCTATTCTATAAACGCCCGTAAATATAACAGTTCCTTACACATAAACAAACCGTCTATGCAGGCATTGTCCTTGTAGCGGTGAAAATAAATTAATGTCCTGTGAAACAAAGGAGTGCGAAGGTCCGATACGATGCGATACGTAAAATTGGCAATATTTTGATTATTAACGACTTCCATTTTTAAAATTATTTTGCAACTTTTTGTAACTTAGCATGTATAGAAAGCGTTGCATGTTGACACATGATAAAACTTATGACATGACAATTGTGTCAATATGCATGGCGGGATTATTAACCACTTATACTCAAAAAGTTTGCGACAGCATTTACGTATCATTTATGAATAAATTACTAGGAATTTCTTACTGACACCCCGTTTGTAATGTTTTTGAAGTGAAAACTTCTTTAGCGGCGTTGTATACTTTTTTTGGAATATGTAAAAAATGTTAAATTCGCGTTAGGACACGTGACCTGATCGAAAATTCGTAAGACGGATAGAGAGTAGACGCTGGCGCGGCGTATTTAATGTAATATAAATTGTCATGTTTGTGTACGATAGCGCAGTAAATAAATATTGTATTCTACCATATAAATGAGTACTTTTATACTGATAATTTAAGCAATTCGTGCAAAATTATTCCCTAACCATTCCAAAATATCAAAAATGCACAACGTTAATATTCAAGTTTTCCCTTCTGCCGGCACTCCCGGAGTGCAACCCATCGTTTTTTTATACTATTATCTCAGTTCCTGTACATCTGGAAAAGTCTGAAGCTGTAAAGCTTTGTCATTTGTAAAGAACATATTCATAATTCTAATAAATAATTCAATTGGAACTGTACGTTCTCATTTGTCGCGAGACGAGACATGGGTGTTTTGTACGTGTTGAACTCTCTTTTACTATTTATCAAAGTGACAACTAGATAATATATTGCTAGAATGATTTTTACTCCCGATCCAAATGACAAGCTTATTTTAAAACGGGCGACAAAAGTCTCTTTTCTTTCATTTTATATGATTGTTGTCGTCGCCGCAAGACACAAATTGTATTAGTATCACTTTTATTATAACGATTTTTTTTACCTCTCTTTTTCGGGCCATATACTAAATCATAACTACAGATTTTAGGAGGCAGGGCAATGAAAAACCATTTCTTAACTTGCGTCTAAAATCTATGGTGCATTGAATTAGACTAATTGGCGAAAGTAACAATTGACTCTTGAAAAAGTTGAGTATCAGTTGACGTCTTAATGATTCGACAGTCAGTCAGAAATGACCAGTCAGTATAAAAGACATGTCACGAATAATTTAAGAATATAAGAAATGTAAAGAAAAGTATTCGAATTATCTATTTGACAGTATCAAAAATTAAGTATTATAGAGAGTAAACTGAGTAAATTAAACCTTTAAAAGCTTTTATTGATTATTACGTCTATCACGTGATACAAAACAGTAAATACGTAAGTCTTTGCCATTCTAATCCTAATGGATGGTAGCCTAAATCTTGGAGTTTAATTTCGTTAGAGGCTGTTTCTGATCGAATAATAATATAGTGTGTTTGTGAAATTTAAGAATGATAATCAACTCGTAAAAATCTTTGTTTGTTCAAATGTTTACTGACATGGTTCGTCGTAGGGGCTAGCGCGACGCCATCTTGTCTAGAGTGGTTTTGGCGGATTCTTGAAATTTAAATTTTAATGGTTTTTATTTGAAACAGAAATAACAATTTGTGTAGGTTCTATAGTCATTAATAAATAATTTGAATGGTTGTTAAAATCTAGTCAAATAGCCTATTACGCTTTTGTCAGACCAAAGTTAAAATCGGTCATCATGAATGTTACAACGTTTTTGGACAATCAATATTATTCTATTTATACCCTTCAGTAATATATCATTAAATCATACAATTATTTATTTACTCAAATTTATTATTTTCAATTTTAACATGTGTATTTTAAAAAGTAAAATTATTGGAAAATGTTTCTTCTATGTATAAGATAAAAATAGTCGTTCAAAAGTCTATGAATGTTGCACTATACAGCTTTGTGTTTTAAGGTTGTATTTTTCCTTTGTAAAATACATTTATTATCGTAAGTCCTCGGATCGGGTTTGCATAATATTACGTTAATGTCCTGGTTTATAGCAAACTTTAACACTGAGTTTTATTGTGAACTAGTAGATTGCTTCCAATCGCGAGTAGAAATGTTTATTTTTATTCGAAAATCGTTATTGTATTGTCATAATTACTTTTGCCCACTTAAACTTCTACTGCTACTTGTAGAAATACCTACATAACTATTTATAAAAGTGTGATGCATTTTTTTAGTTAAATTTCCCGGATACTTCATGACCATCTAGAAACAGTTATACTAATCGTGATAACGAATGGAAAGTACCATAATATACCTTTGACACCATTTACCAAGTGGGACATCGTCGGAGCATCACGACACTCATGGGCAAGCGAAATAAGCTTTAATTATTTATATCTACCCTTATTATAAAAATAATAAACGTCCATAAGTCAATTATTTTTGTAAAATAAAAACATGATAATGCAGAATAAAAAAACAGATATCCCTTTCTGCATGTTAATTTTCAAATTTATTGTTACAAGAATCTTGATAAGTTACAGTGTAGCCTTTGTTTTAAAACCTTTTAATTGTCGTATACTAGATTCCAAAAATAACACGGAAATATTTGTATTCATAAAAAAACAGCTCATACTTAGATAATTACACCACCGGCAAAGTGACCATTACGAGAAAATGTCATTCATTCCAGTAAGTCCAAACATCGTCTTAATTCTTATAACGGTCATATAAATCAGCAATTGCCTTATAATAAAGAATTGGGCATTATACTTTTTAAAAAATCCAACAAATAACTATGCTTATCCATGAATTAACTCAAAAATAAACTCACGTAAAGTTATTAATAATTATGCAAATAGCAATTGCGTGTTACTAATTGCTTTATAACGGCGTGCTGCCGAATATTCAAACTGCAAGTTTTATCGATTAAAAAGCTTTGGTCCCAGTCAATAAGCTTGCAACGAAAATTTAATCTTAGCTGTTTAATAAATATAATCGTCACCAAGTAGTTATTAGAAATAAATGTTAATCTTAAATTTTAATGTTTTCCAGGCCGATTTGGCAGCGTGTAATCTCTATTAAAACTGGCCATGCATCATGCACAAGTAAGTGTATGTAGTGAGGTACTCTGAAACTCCGATGTGACTGACATCCGACACTCTTGGTATTAGTATTAAGCTAAGAATGAAACAATCCTTATAGATTATTTTTAAGACAAATAATGTAGTCAAGACCCAGTACAGAAATACATGAAAAACTTGTTCTGCAAGGTGAACTAATCTCAAATGACTTTGTAGGTCAAGACTTTCAAATTGCTTATAACGTAACGGACCGTAATTTTCATAGCGCCTCGCAGCATAACTTTCAATCGATACTGTTCGACTTTTGAACGTAACTTCCGGAAGTTATCTACGAAAGACTGCAGGTGTTTTCGAAGCGTGTACTAAACTTAAACAATATTGAACGTACATGTTATTTTAAGTTATTGATTTTTGAAACCCGAAATATAGGTTAATTATTTCCTAAATATTGAAATGATTCTTGATATCATAATTGCCAAGCCTTGTCCCGTGACGTTCTAATTTTGACATAAGTAGATACAGTATTATTTTATAATTAAGGAATAGTAATAATATTTCATTTGCAAGAATATGGTTCAGGTACAAAAATATGATAATATAATCTGTTTTTCTATGTTCGAAATTAAGTACGGAAGAATTGAACATATATATATGATGTGTATACAACAATGAACAGAAAATAACTATATCTTGTACAATAATGTTAGCGAATATGGCAAGCGTCACAATTAAAAGTTTTAAACTGTCCTCCACGATAACAATTTCTAACATTGCAAACTACGAATATGAAATGCACATATTATGCAAATAATTAATAAGTATGTGAGCCTCACAAAGATACTGTTTGACTTAGATAATAGATGCAAATTCAAAATCATTTATTCATTTAGATAACACATTGTACACTTACGAACGACAATAAAGGAATACATATTATATGCTTTTAATTTAACATTTAATGTTCTCAAATCAAGGCCGTAGAACGGAAGAGAAGAACTGGCAATAAACTCTCCGCCACTATTTTCAATCGTTAAGTTTTTGTTTTACAAAATGTTTGTAAGGAGCTGCAACCATTACACCATGTTTCACATGACATCAACAATAGTTAATTAATTATAAAATAAAAAAATATAAAAAAAAGATTTGCCCTCTATCAGCAGTAGGCAGGGTGAAAAAGGAGTACGCACTTACATTCTCGTGGGAACAACATGCAAATACATAGTCGAAATAACTAATCGAATAGATATTGTTTTGGTCCATACAGACATATTTGTGATGAAAGTGATAACTTTTCATAAGTATAGGCTTTTAATAGATTGACATTATACTAACATACATCTAAAAAATAATCATAATAACAAGAATGAATTGTATTGCATTGCATAATCAGTGTTAACTTAGCTTAGCTTAATAATAATAATATTTTTTTATGTACTTTTAACACTCGCTCCTACGGTCAAGGAATCCTAAGGAAACCGGTATGTGTCAAATCCAAAAATCGACGACATGAGTCAGACAGAAGGCTGATCACCTACTTGAATGATGAAAAAAGAATAATCAAGGTAACGGATGCAATCTGAATCCAAGGCCCATATACGGTTATAGCGCCACTAGATTATATACACACAAAGAAAAATAAAACAAAATAACTCTGCATAGCTATTACAATACAAAATATGAATATTCATTCTGTGTAACATTATTCCACTAACTTTAATAGTTATTAAAGTTCTGAGCAGAAAAATTTCAAGTTATAATAGATTTTACACCCCGCTAGCTTCAGCTGTAATGTAAATGTTGTAGTTCAACAAAAAAAAAGACAAAGTTTAATTAGCCTAGGAGATACGATTTTTTACTTACTACATATAGCTTAAAACTATCGCTTCCGTAACTTACGGATTCGTGATATAAAATTTAAAGGTCCAGAGTTTGATACTCAATGAAACAATAACTGTTTCGGGTAACCACAGACGTTTGACTGTGATTACAGGAAACTTACCTAACCAGTGTTAGGATCTCTTCAGTATGTATAGGTATACTATTAATAATTCTTAGGAGTCAATGAATCTGACGTTAAATATAGACTTGGAAAATTATTATCTAGCCAAGTTTTGTTATACCCAACTCTGTGATCGGCCGACCACATACACAATAAGATAACGAACGTTCGCGGATATTGGCTTGTGTAGCAGGTACGGGGTTGACTTTGCGGCCCGAAAAATACGATACTGTGCCGCTTATCGATGTTTCTCTTGGATTTCCATTACATTTTCTCAATATAGGACACCGTTACACAGCTTAGTAAACCATATAAATCAGACAATCCACGCTCTATATCGAAAATCTGGCCTTGGGCTTCATGTCTCGCGTCAGGACGTAAGCCTCCTTGTTGTATTCAAATGATATACCTAAGCCTAAACTTAATACGGTATTTTTTGTGACTCAAATATCTATACTAATGAACGAAAGATTTGTATGTAAGTTTGTTAGCAATTAAATGGCTCAAAAAGTACTGGACCGATTTTAAAAATTCTTTTACCATTTGAATGCTACATTATCACTGATAGGTTATTTTAATTGCAAGAAAGATGTAAGGATCCCTACTAAATCAACAATAATGTTACCCAATGTATAAAAAAATGCCTATAAAATATCTTTCATATCGAAGCCGAGACGGGCCGCTAGTAGAATCATAAACCTATCTGTCAACATATTTAGGTTCTTCAAATACAATATTGAACCAGAAATATAAACATACACACGAAAGTTTAGCACACAAGCATGATACTTAAATATTTTCCAATTCCAACAATATCCTATACATGTAGGTTAAACTTATAACAAAAACGTAAAATAATACTTGTATTGTGTATATACGTAGTGTTTAAATAATTAATGTTTTATGTTCAACCAATAGATGTCGCCTGTGGAAGCTTGAATCGCGGTATTGGTTTGTTTTAAGAATAGTATAAGTTGTTCAAGGTTATTTTATTGAAAATGGTGTTTTTTGTTCATGGTCCTTCGAGCCGGATCATGAACAAAAAACAATACCGCGATTCAAGGCTCCAAAGGCGATATCTATTGGTTGAACATAAAACATTAATTATTTAAACACTACGTATCAATTTTAACAATTTTTACTTACATTTATATCAGCTCCAGAGAAATTATAGAACTCGTACGGCGGATCTCTTCCTCGCACGTACTGCATAATTCGATGGCTGTTCTTGAAGAAGACAACCTAATAGAAAATTTAAATTTTTAATATACGTCTGGCGACTACTAAATCTCGTAAATAGTATTATATTTTTTTCATTTTAATGTTATATTTAGTGGATTAGTTTTGCACGTTAGTCTTAATGGCAAGGCAGTGGTAATTGGACACTTTCTTATGTCAAATATCGTTAGTAAATTAAATTAGACTTTAATTAGCCTACATTGCAATGTTCAATGATGTCTCAGTGAAATTTCATGTATTTTATTATATAAATTCGGAATCCAAATTGGAACCGTTGACCAAATGCCAGTACCACTTGTTTAATGTAAAAATATATGATGTACCAATAACACATTGGTTAAGACCCTTTAGATAAATGCCTGTACTGAAAATCGTATTGTATTAACAAAGTTTTTTTTCACTCATAAAAGTTGTCTTATACCGATTTTATTAGTCTTAGGATTTAAGTTGAACGTCAATCGAACTTAAATCTAAGCTCCAAGAGACCATTTTTCTGTATGAAGATTGACATATTTGCCAGCGCTCAAGACCAGATTGTGACTTGTTACGAATAAATATCACCGTTAGAAATCCATCGATCATATTTTAAATCAAGTCCATTTAAAAATACTCTTTGTCATCTTCTATCAAAAAATAAACTATAGAAGAGACTCTAATTCGGCAACCAGAATCTTCGCACACAAATCACACTAATACATTTTTGGCATAGTATAAAAATTAATAAAACAACAAATCACATTTAGTATAATATTTATTATTACCTACTTTGTGGCAGTTGACTGTGGCAGTATTATAATCTTTCTATATTCTTTGTCTGGCTAAAACTAAATGTGAACGCTTTGCAGCTGTTGAAAGACAAAATATTAATCAAAATAGGATTTGTGATTGCGCCTTTGATATACTTTCCTTATATTAGATTTGATTTAGATGCAATTTAAATGTCCAACAGCCATTGTCAGCGTCATGTATGTTTAAAAGTAGATTAATAATTATAATAATGTAACCGCGTAACACAATGGGCCATTACCAACTAACCTTAAACTATGGTGAAATTATTTTTAATTTAAGAACAGGGGTAAGTACTAATCATGGTCATTGAGTAGGGCTGTTTGACAATTGTGTAGTAACCTAATGTTTAATACTATCGATATTATAATATTAACGACCAAACCATTTTGTCTATAGTATAAATCATAGAAAAATAAACATATTATTATAAAGAACGCAATTTCTAATAAAAATGTACCATATTTTTCTAATTATCGGAATTTTAAGTCATGTTTGTCATTTGTAACGCAATATTTATCTCGGTATTTATTTAAATAACAACGGTCGAACGTGTAATTTTAAAATTGCATTTGATTTTTGGATGTACAGTAGACAGTAATTCTTCATGCTTCAGTAATATTTACCTTCCTACGTTTTGTAGTTGACGGGTGTACGATGTGTTTTGATAAATCCACCTACCTTGTATATAGTTCCTGGGTCAACGTTATGCTCGCATCGGACTTGTGCGCTGTGTCCATGCACCACAAATCGGGGCGCCCGTAGCTCGACCCACACTTCGGACATACTTGATACTATAACAATACAATAGCATGTTTTAGTAAGAAACTTTAGCTATTAAATTTGTATACATATGAAATATTGTATATAGTATAAAAGTAACCATTTAACAATACATAAACGTAGCATAAATCGGTCGGAACTATACCAAAACAAGAAGAGGACACTTTTGTTTGATAAGGTTAGATCTTAGGAAAGATCATGGAAAAAGAGAGAGAGAAAAAGAAAAGTTGGGTAAAAAATAATTAAACAAAAATGTGCATTAAAAGATTGTTTTATTTAAAAGAGGATTGACTAAACAAATATGTACTTACTGAAAAATGAAGAAAATTGATCTTACTAGCTAAAAGTAGGAAAAGAAAAAAGAAATACAGCCTTGTATGATGTATCCTCAAACTCATAGTATCCGCTAAGAACACTAATCGAAAACTTTCTACATCACCTACGACTGTCAAGAGATCACAAAGCATCTAGCGAGAGAGTCATAAAATCAGGTATACTTTTTTAGCTTTAACTCTACAGTAATCTAGCGTACATTACAGTATTAAAGCCAATAAACCGTTATAGTCTAATATAAAAACTAACGGTTTTTTACCTAATTTATTGTCCACTCACTAGTGCCTTTAAAGAACTATCTTATAAACCTAGTACTTATGTTCACAGCGTTCAAGCATTTAACCCAAGCAAGCGTATATAGATTCCAGATAGTATACGTAAAATCAAGGTAAAGTCCAAACCCGCGGCTAGCTAAATATTATATAAAATAATAAAAGATACATTTTTCCGTATATAAATTCACCCCTAATATTTCATACCTCGCTCAATATTGGACAAAACACTTTCCACAATGTCTATAACGTGATTGATTGCGAAAAATATTTCATAATATTTTTATTATAAAATAAGTAATGCTACCCGTGTCGTCTACGTGTAATTACGATCGACAGATTGCCTAACCTTGTTTTTCTAGTTATTGAAAAATCTTGATTTAAGATTCGCTTTTGTATTATGACCTGATACCTTTATGTTGCAAACGATTATCTAGTAATATAAAAAGTATTGAAAAGTCTAGTCCAAGTTCCGTTTTAGAAATTAAGGACCCCGTAAGTAAAGACATTACGATTATTCGTACTAAGCAAGGGACGAGACAGGGTCGTAATGGTTTAGGGTTGCCATAAATTAACAGATAAGACACATATTGCCCTAAATAAGGACAGGGGCTATGTATTCGCGATCAGCGTATTTTAATTCTAACGATTTATTTTTATGGGAAAGTATCACTACCGATTACGATTAGTTACGTTTGGAAAAAATTATTTTGAAAGACCTCACTACATCTTCAACCATCTTTACCACGGAGAGTCATCAGAGGAGTTGTTCGCATATATGCAGCTGAGTTTCATCATCGGATGTCGAGGCAGAATACGCAATTATTTTCACCCGTTCACCTCGATGTCCGTCATTCCAAACTGAGCGTTATTTAAGGCAGTTTGTGCTGCACCATCTCAATGTGGAACCAGCTACCCACTGAAGTATTTCCGAAACATTCAACTTAGGGTCTTTCAAGAAAAGAGCGTTCTAATTCCTATATTCCTATAATATTTAAGTATAGTATTTTTTTTGTTCTAGGTATATGGTCTTCTCATATAATTATTATCAAATCAATGTACTTATACAAAATATTGAAAAAACTATTTGAAAAGAGTAAGTATGGAGTTTCTTGCCCATTCTTCTCCATATGAAACTACCTTTTGGAAGGGGCCTCTAGAGTCATTTTTTTTAATTTTTTAAACTTGCAATTTGGACTTTTAAAAGTCCAAAGCCTAATTGAAATAAATGAATTGACTCTAACTTTGAACACACTCGTCAGCCCTCTGGCACTGAGAGTGCCCATGGGCGGCACTTAACCTCAGATGAGCCTCCTGTTCTATAAAATAAAATATTATTATGAAATCCGTAGCTACTAAGACATAGTGCGCATATTCATAAATTAATCGTTACGCATTTGTAAGTCGCATAAGCATTGTTGGCTCGAGAGTGAGACTTTCAACATAAAGTGGTGCGTTTGAATTGCATAATTTAACACGGTGTGTCAGAAACAGAAGAGTGATCACTGACTTGCCTATTGGAGAAGTGAAACTGGTTCACCAATCTAAGGACGTTGTAGCATCACCAGTTTTATTTACTTGTCGTATGTTATGTAAACTTGGTGCCTTGTGAAACAATTTAGGAATCTTGCATTTTTAACATCAGATTTAAATTAAATATCCTTTAGAACATTATGATCGTACGAACTATTAAAGAAAATTAAATTCATAACAAGAACAAAAATGTTTTTTGTATATCAGAAAAATTCAATACAGCAGTGTTGGCCTAGTGGCTCAAGTGCGACTCTCATCCCGGAGGTTGTAGGTACAAACTCCGGCTTAGCCAATCGACAACATTCGCTCGAACGGTAAAGGAAATTGCCATGTCTAGACCCAAAAATGTCGACGGCATGTGTGTTAGGCTGATCACCTGCTTGCCTGTTAAAAAAAACAAATGATCACTGAACAGATACAGAAATTGAAAAGGTTGTACCGCCACTGGTTTTAATATATATAATATGTAATCTCCCTGAAAATGAACCTGACACGTTATAACTGCTACATTAGAGTCCGTTTTATTAATTATAGGTGAAATCAAGTCGGCTAGAAAATTTAAAATGAAGTTTAAGAATGTATGTTATTACAATATAATTAAACTTTACATCGAAACTTGTTATTAAAGATTATTAACCATATGGAGACGTTGAATTTGAAGACAAGTCTAAATCGTCGTTCAAATTTACACGTTTATTCTATGAATTTATTTTTATTATTGGGTAGCAATAAAACAATTAAATTGTCTGTTTTAGTACTTCGATATACTGTTATATATATTTTAGTTTTTATACCGGAATATGGAGAAAAAATTACAAATATGCTTAGAATAATTAAGTCTAAATGCACTCTTTTAACTACTATTTTGATCTATGTCAAAGACTGTCCGTTTGATAGAAAACGAATTATAGTCATTAGTTTCGTAGTAGGTACTAAAAAATTGAACAATTTTTTTTTAGTTGGACGGTGCATTTCTGGTTCCGCTTCAACCGAATCAACACTACTAAGGCGCGGCGCTTGGTTATTACAATAAATAATTCTTTCATAGTTAATACAATTTTAATTCATTAGTTAAATTAACAAAGAGTGAATTTTTACAAGTGCTCTACTGAATAAATTAATGGGCACTTCTGAATTGGATTATTCACTGCTGATCTTAACTGCATTTTGTACCGATTCAATAAACAACGCTTTAAATCAATCCTATTAACAAATAGATAAACCGCTTTAATCAACTAATGGCTATAGTGTAACCGAAGTTGACAATGTTATTAAACCGTACGACACTTGAGGAAGCAGTTGCTTGCTTTACGAGTGAATCTTCCTTGCTGCAATAACTTTGCGGTTAGACCATCTGGATATAGTTATGTTTTTATGAATATACGTGCAGAATTTCAAGGAATATATCTTAAATACAAAGGAACTATAATTATAAAAGTACATAATAAATATTTAATACAGTTACATAATGCACGCTGTGCTAGCTATTAAGAAGTGCTTTAGTTTTATATTAATTTAAACAATAATCTATAAATTTATTAATCTGTAAGTATACCAATTAACTTGAAATGTCTTTTTAAATACAAATCCCCTTGATTTCACTCTCGTTCAGAGGTAGCGTAATGTTATATAGCCTTATTAAATGGATTGAACCCAATAATAATTTTTCTATTCGGACAATTAGATCCTGAGAAAAGCATGTTGAACCAAATGAAATCTTTAGGTCTATATTATAAGAACAGGTTTTTTAGTATTATTTTTAGTAGGTTTCTTACTATGGATGGAAAAAACATTGTTACCCTGACATCAAAAACATATTCTATAGTCCATGTTTAAGTAAGAGGCCGGTTGTAATAGGGGTGTTTGATAAAAAGTCATAATGAGTAAGACGCAATTAATAATCTTTCTTTTTTCTAAGGTTTTTAAAAAAGATCTTGATTTCTGATCCCTTAAAAAATGTACCCCGGCCTCTACTGCGTCATCTTCAAATATATGTGATGTTTATTTAACACGAAAATAGGTAGAAATCACTAGGAGCTAGTCAGGTTGGAGGATGTTCCATCAATCGAAGCCAGCTTCTTAAATGGCAGCCATCGCAACTCTGGACTTGTGTGCGGGGGCGTAAATTTGTTAAAACAACACAACTTAAGCGAGTTTGCAACGCCGTTGCTTTCGTATTTGGACTACGCAACTTTGTGAGCCGGCCTCTTCTTAAAAAAGAGGTTTATTATTATTATATACGATTATTACCACCCCTTGACTACCGGATGGAATCACCTTAAATTTCTTCCGAGTTGGAGATGATGGTATCCTCCATGTCACAGACTGTTTTATCATTTTTGGGTCATAATTAATTACCGTTGTTTGTGAAGAATAAACCAATTAACAAAGATAAAAATGGGTTGTGATTTATAACAAGTTAGAGCATCCCATAACTCCTTATAGAAATTTTCATTTCTTCTGCTATAAAACGTTTCGTCAATGATTTCTTGTCGCTTATATAATTAAAAATATAAAAGAATAATAAAAAGCCAACTCAGCAGCCGCTAAATTTGCCTTTTTATTATTATTATATCTAATGTGTGGGCTACGCCTCATAGTATTAACTTTTTTCTTTCCAAGGAGAATGTATCGCAATGTCACTAATAATTGAACAACCTTATATAATAATCAATACATTATTAAGTATTTTTTCTGATATCTCTCAGATATATAGTGAGTTAGTGTTAGACAAATCCTCGTTTATATTATCTCTAAGCTTATAATAAGCTTCCGTTTAAAAGCTCAACACTGTATTTTAGTTCAAAGGCTTATTACGTTGCGGACGTGACTTCATTACTTTAAAACATTAAAAATATCCAATCT